CCCCATTCAGATAGATCCCAATCAGGAGTCAGACAGGCACAGGGCCCTGTTCCAGGTGTGTTTCTCCTCCAGGTGTGTCCCAATCAGGAGTCAGAGAGGCACAGGGCTCTGTTCCAGGTGTGTTTCTCCTCCAGGTGTGCTCAGATCAGGAATCAGACAGGCACAGGGCCCTGTTCCAGGTGGGATCCCCATTCAGATAGATCCCAGTCAGGAGTCAGACAGGCACAGGGACCTGTCCAAGGTGAGATTCCCCCCTCAGGTGTGTTCCAATCAGGAGCCAGTCAGGCACAGGGCCCTGTCCAAGGTGAGATCCCCCCTCAGATGTGCTCAGATCAGGAGTCAGAGAGGCACAGGGTCCTGTTCCAGGTGTGTTTCTCCTCCAGATGTGCTCAGATCAGGAATCAGACAGGCACAGGGACCTGTTCCAGCTGGGATCCCCATTCAGATAGATCCCAATCAGGAGTCAGACAGGCACAGGTCCCTGTTCCAGGTGGGATTCTCCTACCGATGTGCTCAGATCAGGAATCAGACAGGCACAGGGCCCTGTTCCAGGTGGGGTCCCCATTCAGGTAGATTCAAGTCAGGAGTCAGTCAGGCACAGGGCCCTGTCCAAGGTGAGATTCCCCCTAAGATGTGCTCAGATCAGGAGTCAGAGAGGCACAGGGACCTGTTCCAGGTGGGATCCCCATTCAGATAGATCCCAGTCAGGAGTCAGACAGACACAGGGCCCTGTTCCACATGTGTTTCTCCTCCAGGTGTGTCCCAATCAGGAGTCAGAGAGGCACAGGGGCCTGTTCCAGGTGGGATCCCCCTCAGGTGGGATCAGATCAGGAGTCAGACAGGCACAGGGCCCTGTTCCAGGTGGGATCCCCACTCAGATAGATCCCAGTCAGGAGTCAGAGAGGCACAGGGACCTGTTCCAGGTGTGTTTCTCCTCCAGGTGTGTCCCAATCAGGAGTCAGACAGGCACAGGGCCCTGTTCCAGGTGGGATCCCCATTCAGATAGATCCCAATCAGGAGTCAGACAGGCACAGGGCCNCTTTCCCACACTTGCCTTTGGCTGCCACCGAGATGCCCATGGCCGCCTCATGGAAGCTTTCCACAATTTATTATTCTTCTATATCTAAACCTGCTCCCACCTCTATTCCACCCTCACCTTCTACATTTCAAGACCTTCCTGCCATCTGTGAAACCTCCCAAACTTTCCCTGTTTCCCACACTTGCCTTTGGCTACCACCAAGATGCCCATGGCCGCCTCGCGGAGTGAGCTGCCCTTCAAGGAAGATTTCCACAATCCACTATTCTATATCATTTTCCCACCTCTATTCCACCCTCAGGTTCTGCATTCAGAGACCTTCCTGCCATCTGTGAAACGTCCCAAACTTTCCCTTTTTCCCACACTTGCCTTTGGCCGCCACGGAGATGCCCATGGCCGCCTCGCGGAGCAAGCTACGCTTTGAGGAAGGTTTCCACAATCTTTTATTCTCCCATATCAAAACCTGCTTCCACCTCTACTCCACCCTCAGTTTCTACATTTCAAGACCTTCCTGCCAGCTGTGAAACCTCCCAAACTTTCCCTGTTTCCCACACTTGCCTTTGGCCTCCACGGAGATGCCCATGGCCGCCTCGCAGAGTGAGCTGCACTTCAGGGAAGATTTCCACAATCCACTATTCTATATCAAAACATTTTCCCACCTCTATTCCACCCTCAGGTTCTGCATTCAGAGACCTCCCTGCCATCTGTGAAACCTCCCAAATTTTCCCTTTTTCCCACACTTGCCTTTGGCTGCCCCGGAGATGCCCATGGCCGCCTCGCGGAGCGAGCTATGCTTTGAGGAAGTTTTCCACAATCTATTATTCTCCCATATCAAAACCTGCTTCCACCTCTATTCCACCCTCACCTTCTACATTCTGAGACCTTCCTGCCCTCTGTGAAACCTCCCAAACTTTCCATGTTTCCCACACTTGCCTTTGGCCACCACGGAGATACCCATGGCCGCCTCGCAGAGTGAGCTGCACTTCAGGGAAGATTTCCACAATCCATTATTCCATATCAAAACCTGCTTTTACCTCTTTTCTGCTCTTAACTTCTACAGAGAACTTCCTTCCTTCTGTGAAACTTCCTTGCCACACTTTCNCTTTCCCACACTTGCCTTTGGCTGCCACCGAGATGCCCATGGCCGCCTCATGGAAGCTTTCCACAATTTATTATTCTTCTATATCTAAACCTGCTTCCACCTCTATTCCACCCTCAGTTTCTACATTTCAAGATCTTCCTGCCATCTGTGAAACCTCCCAAATTTTCCATGTTTCCCACACTTGCCTTTGGCCACCACGGAGATGCCCATGGCCGCCTCACAGAGTGAGCTGCGCTTTGGCGAAGATTTCCACAATCCACTATTCTATAGTATTTTCCCACCTCTATTCCACCCTCAGGTTCTTTATTCACAGACCTTCCTGCCATCTGTGAAACTTCCCAAATTTTCCATGTTTCCCACACTTGCCTTTGGGTGGCACCGAGATGCCCATGGCCACCTCGCAGAGTGAGCTGCACTTTGGGGAAGATTTCCACAATCCACTATTCTATATCAAAACATTTTTCCACCTCTATTCCACCCTCAGTTTCTACATTTCAAGACCTTCCTGCCAGCTGTGAAACCTCCCAAATTTTCCATGTTTCCCACACTTGCCTTTGGCCGCCACGGAGATGCCCATGGCCGCCTCGCGGAGCGAGCTACGCTCTGAGGAAGTTTTCCACAATCTTTTGTTCTCCCATATCAAAACCTGCTTCCACCTCTATTCCACCCTCACCTTCTACATTCTGAGACCTTCCTGCCATCTGTGAAACCTCCCAAATTTTCCATGTTTCCCACACTTGCCTTTGGCCGCCACCGAGATGCCCATGGCCGCCTCGCGGAGCGAGCTGCGCTGTGGGGAAGTTTTCCACAATCCACTATTCTATATCATTTTCCCACCTCTATTCCACCCTCAGGTTCTTTATTCAGAGACCTTCCTGCCAGCTGTGAAACCTCCCAAATTTTCCATATTTCCCACGCTTGCCTTTGGCCGCCACCGAGATGCCCATGGCCACCTCGCAGAGTGAGCTGCACTTCAGGGAAGATTTCCACAATCCACTATTCTATATCAAAACATTTTTTCACCTCTATTCCACCCTCAGGTTCTTTATTCAGAGACCTTCCTGCCATATGTGAAACTTCCCAAATTTTCCCTCTTTCCCACCACTTGCCTTTGGCCACCATATCCATGGCTGCCTCACGGAGCAAGCTATGCTTTGAGGAAGTTTTCCACAATCTTTTTTTCTCCCATATCAAAACCTGCTTCCACCTCTATTCCACCCTCATCTTCTACATTCTGAGACCTTCCTGCCATCTGTGAAACCTCCCAAATTTTCCATGTTTCCCACACTTGCCTTTGGCCACCACGGAGATGCCCATGGCCGCCTCGCAGAGTGAGCTGCACTTCAGGGAAGATTTCCACAATCCACTATTCTATATCAAAACATTTTTTCACCTCTATTCCACCATCGGTTTCTGCATTTCAAGACCTTCCTGCCATCTGTGAAACTTCCCAAATTTTCCCTTTTTCCCACACTTGCCTTTGGCTGCCACGGAGATGCCCAAGGCCGCCTCGCGGAGCAAGCTACGCTTTGAGGAAGTTTTCCACAATCTTTTATTCTCCCATATCAAAACCTGCTTCCACCTCTATTCCACCCTCAGTTTCTACATTTCAAGACCTTCCTGCCATCTGTGAAACTTCCCAAATTTTCCGTCTTTCCCACACTTGCTTTTGGCCGCCACGGAGATGCCCATGGCCGCCTCGCGGAACAAGCTACGCTTTGAGGAAGTTTTCCACAATCTATTATTCTTCCATATCAAAACCTGCTTCCACCTCTACTCAACCCTCATCTTCTACATTCAGAGACCTTCCTGCCATCTGTGAAACCTCCCAAATTTTCCCTCTTTCCCAACACTTGCCTTTGGCCACCACGGAGATATCCATGGCCGCCTCACAGAGCAAGCTATGCTTTGAGGAAGTTTTCCACAATCTTTTATTCTCCCATATCAAAACCTGCTTCCACGTCTATTCCACCTTCAGTTTCTACATTTCAAGACCTTCCTGCCAGCTGTGAAACCTCCCAAACTTTCCCTGTTTCCCACACTTGCCTTTGGCCGCCATGGAGATGCCCATGGCCGCCTCGCAGAGTGAGCTGCACTTCAAGGAAGATTTCCACAATCTATTATTCCATATCAAAACCTGCTTTTACCTCTTTTCTGCTCTTAACTTCTACAGAGAACTTCCTTCCTTCTGTGAAACTTCCTTGCCACACTTTCCATCTTTCCCACTTCCCCACACTTGCGTTTGTCCACCACCAAGATGCCCATGGCCACATTGGAGAAGCTTTCCACAATCTATTATTCTCCTATATCAAAACTTACTTCCACCTCTACTCCACCCTCATCTTGTACATTCTGAGACCTTCCTGCCATCTGTGAAACTTCCCAAACTTTCCCTGTTTCCCACACTTGCCTTTGGCCGCCACGGAGATGCCCATGGCCGCCTCGCAGAGTGAGCTGCACTTCGGGGAAGATTTCCACAATCCACTATTCTATATCAAAACATTTTTTCACCTCTATTCCACCATCGGTTTCTGCATTTCAAGACCTTCCCGCCATCTGTGAAACTTCCCAAATTTTCCCTCTTTCCCACACTTGCGTTTGTCCACCACCAAGATGCCCATGGCCACCTCGCAGAGTGAGCTGCACTTCAAGGAAGATTTCCACAATCCACTATTCTATGTCATTTTCCCACCTCTATTCCACCCTCAGGTTCTGCATTCAGAGACCTTCCTGCCATCTGTGAAACTTCCCAAATTTTCCCTCTTTCCCACACTTGCCTTTGGCCGCCACGGAGATGCCCATGGCCGCCTCACAGAGCAAGCTACGCTTTGAGGAAGGTTTCCACAATCTTTTATTCTCCCATATCAAAACCTGCTTCCACCTCTATTCCACCCTCACCTTCTACATTCTGAGACCTTCCTGCCAGCTGTGAAACCTCCCAAATTTTCCATGTTTCCCACACTTGCCTTTGGCTGCCACGGAGATGCCCATGGCCGCCTCGCAGAGTGAGCTGCACTTTAAGGAAGATTTCCACAATCCACTATTCCATATCAAAAATTTTTCCACCTCTATTCCACCCTCAGTTTCTACATTTCAAGATCTTCCTGCCATCTGTGAAACTTCCCAAATTTTCCGTCTTTCCCAACACTTGCCTTTGGCCACCACGGAGATGCCCATGGCCACCTCGCGGAGCAAGCTACGCTTTGAGGAAGTTTTCCACAATCTTTTATTCTCCCATATCAAAACCTGCTTCCACCTCTATTCCACCCTCAGGCTCTCCATTCTGAAACCTTCCTGCCATCTCTGAAACTTCCTTGCCAAACTTTCCCTGTTTCCCACACTTGCCTTTGGCCGCCGCCGAGATGCCCATGGCCGCCTCATGGAAGCTTTCCACAATTTATTATTCTTCTATATCTAAACCTGCTTCCACCTCTATTCCACCCTCACCTTCTACATTCAGAGACCTTCCTACCATCTGTGAAACTTCCCAAATTTTCCCTCTTTCCCAACACTTGCCTTTGGCTGCCACAGAGATGCCCATGGCCGCCTCACGGAGCGAGCTGCGCTTCCTCCAGCGCCCTTCGTCCGTGTTGTACATCTCCACCACCTTCAGCGGCAGCTGGTTGGCGCCCACGCCGCCGATCA